TCAATGGATTAGTTAATAAGAGAAAGTAATCAAACAGTTTAGTATAAATCTTATCGACATTTTGTAGCGGAACTGAAAGGCAGCAGTCTGTGGGTTCTGCTGAACTGACCACAGTTCGCCGTTCTAAGAGGCAATGAGTGGCATGCGTATGTAAGCAGAATAGTGGACGCTTACGCAAATGTAGCAACAGTCCCTGGCAAAAAGAAAAGAATGGCCTATCTTGGAAAAGTCCCAAAATGGCGACGCCCATGTTTTATAACAGGTGGTCTCGGGCGACTAACGCGAAATCTCGTTGGCTAGTGATTCGTAAATTATGGTCGGTCCTCGGCTGTATAAAGCGAGCGTCTTTTGAGAGAGACAGACGTTCTTGTTGGCGAGAAGAAGAACGCTGTGTGTGTGTGAAAAGAAAGACATGTTTTGTTGCTGTCTCTACGTTGCCTGTTGGATTATTTCGTCGAACAATCGTTGAATTAGATTTTTGGCTACAAGTGTTGCGGTTACCGGAAATTGACACCCATTATTTGTTTTCTTTTGCTTTTTCTTGTTCCTTACCAACACACATTTCCTGTAATATTCTTCATCCCCTCATGTTGGGACATTAGTAATTTGGTTATGTAATTAAATTATCTTTGTGTTTTCAGTTTTAAGAGATGAAAGCTTGGTGAATTCTAGATTTATTTTTAAAATGTATACCTTAAGATATTTGTCGAAATTGCAGTTGTCTGTTATAAAATGTTCTATAAAGATATTTTAAATAAAACGATAATATTAAAATTGTATCAGAAAAAATAATTAAAATTATAAAAATTTATATAATAAAAAAGTAAAATTATGTAAAAATAATTAATGGGTAAATAAAAAATAACATAATAGACTAGTTTAGCATCCCGCTACCACTTACTTATCAATGTTGAATTTTGTACAGATTTGTGCAAAAAGTGGATCAAAGAGCTTATCCGGCTTCATACAGATTTTCAGGAAATATCAGTTTCTAATTGGTCAATAAACACGCAATTAGGCGTTGCAATCCGCCCACATACAAATATCTTTCAAGCGCATGACTGTCGGAGTTAACTTCTCCTTTAGTTTGTTAACTCTTTCACCAGGGGTCTCTATTCCCTGGCTATAAATAGTCGCTGACCCTTTGCCTCTTCCTCTCTTTTTCCTCATGCTTTCAGCCTTACCACCTCGCAAATGTAAACGCTCACAGAGATAGCGTTTCCCAAATGCTGGGAACACGCTAAGCACAATACACGTACGTACGAACACTCACCACACACACATATACAATATTCACACACACACTCTGTCCATTGTAACTGTTCCATGTAACTTGTTATTAATACATATATTTGTATACATATATTTATCGGTCTTGTGTTTGTTTTTCTTTGCCTTCTTTGGACTTAATTAAAGTCCAACTTTCTCATGTAGTTGGACCGGCTAGCAGGAAAATCTTAACCCCCACATGTGTTCTACTTCTATCAACAACATCACAGCCACGGTCCACTACATGACCAAGTCAAGTTTTCCCGCTTTTGTCTTTTGAGCCTGTTACGTGGTTACATTAATTATAAATAGCAAACACAAGCTTGTTCATTCACTTTTCTCTTTTTCCTACGAAAATGTGACCTTAAAGGATTCCTATCTTGACCATGTGAGGTCAGACGCCCATGAAAACATATTCACGCATGCACGTACGTACGAAATTTTCCAACCTACATAACAAACATACGAAATATTTCCAAACAAGCAACAAGAACTTTTCTTTTTAAAATACACTTGTAAAGCTACAAGTTTATTCAGCATTTGAAACTCTCACACGCAAGGGATACACACGGGAATTACAACTCAGAGAGACGCCAAAGAAACAACTTTCTTTATGAGAGATTAGGAAAATTTACACTACAAACTTTTCCATTCAATATCTTTCATAGAAAAACTTAGATGTCAAAGAAACAACTTTCTTTATGAGAGATTAGGAAAATCAACACTACAAACCTTTCCACTCAATATCTTTCATAGAAAAAACTAAGACGCCAAAGAAACAACTTTCTTTATCAGAGATTAGGAAAATCGACACTACAAACTTTTCCATTCAATATCTTTCATAGAAAAACTTAGACGTCAAAGAAACAACTTTCTTTATGAGAGATTAGGAAAATCGACACTACAAACTTTTCCACTCAATATCTTTCATAGAAAAACTTAGACGCCAAAGAAACAATTTTATGTTACTGCAGTTTAGAACAAACTTTAAGAGAGATTATGAAAATTTACACTACGAATTTTTCCACTCGATATTGTGCTGGTGTGATTAGTAGTTGGGTTGATCAAATATATAAATGCGACTGCGTGTTGCAAGATAATCAACATTAAATTTGAACATCAAGGAAAAAAAGAACAATGAGAACCAATTTTGTTTAAAGAAGAAATATATATATTAAACTCAACAAATAATACAAGTAGTTGTAATATGAGTGAAAGAAGGGAGAAAAAAGTAGCTTCCTCTTGACTGTAGGAAATGTCTTAAAAAAGATTTGTCTGAGTAAATGTTCAGAGTTCAGTGTTGAAAATGGAATATTTATTTCTGAAAATTGTTCAATAATTGTAACTTAAAAAGTTGATTTAACTTGGTGTGTCCACTGAGAACTGGTGGTGTGTCACATAAAGTTCTGTAGTGTGTATGCACGTGCGGAGTGAGTAGGATGAAAATACACGAGCGAGTAAATGAGAACTATTGTCTCTGGGTACCTCGACTGTGGTTCTGAAATTACTACTAGTTTTATTTGGAAAGCATCCAATATTTATACTACCTAGGGAGGCTCCCAGCAGAGACGCTATGGTACATTTTTGAATATACTTGAAAAATATCTGATTGGACGGAAAATGGACCAATCAGTGATTTTGTAGCAAAGCATGTTTTGAACAAAGTGTAGGAACAAATTTACTATAGTGAAATGCGATAGATAAATTGTCCTGTTGTTTTTAAGTATGTATTTATTGACCAATTAGAATTGGAGAAAATGTAAGCGTGGCACCCCAATATCTTGCATAGAAAAACTTTTGTCTAATACTAATATGAATTTAATTTTCATAGTAAAAGGCAGACAACTTTTACTTACTTTTGTTATTAAACATTTCTGAAGCAGTAAAGAACTTTTTTCCCTTAAATATACCCTGCACACATCATTACAAAACAAAATTGTAATATTCTGCATATAAAAATATATATATGTTGCATCAAAGCTATCCTTTTTGTCATAATTAAATATCGTTACCATTTGGCCATCTTTTATAATTTATGTTTGTAGGTATTGCATGTTTTATTCGCAGCACAACATTAAATATTCACGCAGCCACAACACTAGGTTTATTTATTACACTTTCTTTTGAGGAGAGTGTTCAAAACCACATATTTTAAAAACACGTATTTAAATAAAATGTTCTATATTGAAGCACAGACTTAGTAAAAATGGCTTGAATAAAATTTGTAACTGTGTAAGACTTTGTATATGTAAAGAAAATTGATGTCATAAAAGAAACGTCAAAATGAGGTCTGTTGAAAAAGATAAAATCTGATAAAAAATGAGGCTCAAGTTTGAAAACTGTTACAAGATGAGATCTTGCCCTGCTTCGATAAACGGAAGTTACCATCACGAGTCCCCGACTCGAAATGAAAACTACACGTCTACGCATAGGCTCGACGCAGATACTTCCGTTTGGGATAAACTCGAAAAAAAATGAAAAGAATTAAATCAACCAATCGGACCGTCTCCCGCGTATTCAAAAAATTGCCTTTTGGAGCCGATAGGCGTGTGTAAGAACACGGGAAAGTCAAAAGGAGTGCCACTCAACGGCGGAGGCAGAAGGGTCACGTCGCTCGCTCCTGACACACTGGCCCGGCGACGAAACGAAGCATGTGACTGCTGCTGCTATTGAACTCTCGTCCGACGCCTTGTACCTTTCCCTCAACTTCTTAAATACGAACCTTTTACTTGTTCTTATTTTCCTCACTAAAAGAGATTATAAAATATATCTACAGTCTTTCTTGTTCTTTCGATTCTGAATTCCATTGTTTGCAACCAAACGCAGTATTTCGCCCACATTGTTTTCACATCGCCCACGTAACTAAATACGGAATATAACACTGGTGTCAAGCGTGCAGCGAAACAATGGAATACTCAGGCCTCTCTCGCTCAGAAATTCTGGAACTCATCAAGCAACAGAAAACAGCGATTCTCCAAACGAAAATCGACATGGAACGCGCTGACAACCCCCAAGCACAATCGATCATTAACGAACTAAAAGCTGACCTTCACGAACTTTTAGCCGCTCTGCAGACTACCACACATGATCGCTCACACTCACCGCGATACGCCACAAACTACGAACTATTAATGCGACAGCAATCACTTCGGGACGCTACGAAATCCATCCGGGCCTTCGAACCAGGCAATGACGTCAACCGCTTTATCACCGACCTCAGCAAAGCTTACACGATACACGTTAAGCCAGAGTTGAGCGAATACCCCGAGATGGAGAAAGAATTCGTCAAACTGGCAAAACAACTCCTTAACGAAGGCATCTTCCAGCAGATGGAAGACTCAAAACAATCCACAGCCACGTTCGAGGAACTGAAAACTTACCTAGTCTCCACTCACGGGAACCAGATGACGAATTTCCAACATCTGAGTCAGGCATGGGACCTCCAGCGCTGTGACGGGGAGAAATTCACTGATTTTGCAGGCCGACTTGAGAACACAATCCGAGAGGCCACAGTCCACATCAAGGCGAGATTCAAGTTGGACAAACAAAATGCCGAGATGACGGCCGACACCGCTTTCTCCCTAATGGGGACCATGCTCATGAGCGAAAGAATCAAGGCATGGGCACCCAACATTTATCCACACCTCGTCAAAACCATGGATAGACACTACTCAGCGGGCGGTATTGCCAGCGACGCGCAACGCTTTCTCGATCGCGGCATCAAAACAGACATGACCACCTCCGTTGAAACAACCGCATTGATTGCGAGTCAACCTGCAAACTCCGGCAAGCCTCACAGCCTTGAAAGTGACAGAATACTAGCCGACGTAAAGCGACAATTGCTGGACCTGAACGAGCAACTACGGCAGGCGCACAGGCGCGACCCAACCACCATCAACAGGAACAATCAGACCGGCCCCTCCTCCAACATGAAGCACAGCCGGACACAAAGAGGCACTGGCCAATCCGGCCACCCGGCAGTATGCAGAAACTATCTACGAGGCCGTACATGCTTCAAGGGTAACAGATGTCCCTATTTTCACTCTCCCCACGCTCAAGCTCACATAGCGACCACTGATACCACCTTACCCGGAGAAGACAGTGATCCACACAACACCGATGCATTCTTTGCTTTCCACACCTCTTCCACCATCCCTGTTAAAGAGATCGCCGACCACATGGGTATTGCGGCCGAACAAGCCTCTGATGATACACTTTCAAAAATCATCAGAGCCCTCCAGTCAACAGATCCAAGACCTGACACTACCATACTTGACTCCAACGATCACCGCACTGCACTTTTCCACAAACTCATGCATCAATTCTACTTGGAACCGGGAACGTCTGTACTAATGATCAGGGACGCTGCGAACACACCCAAGCTGGTGGTACCTTACAAGCTCCGCGCAAAATATCTCCACCAGGCTCATGACTGTGTAAACCACTCTGGAATCAGCCGCATGCAGGAACACCTATCCAGTTACTGGTGGGAATATAAAAATCGCGACATCAAGGCGTACGTCCATTCATGCCAAACCTGCGCTAAACGTAAAGGGAATTACGGCAGGCACCCAAACTGGCCCATGGGCCATTGTAGGCGAGGCGGAAAACCATTCGAGGTTGTCTACATAGATTTTGTCTCAATGCCCCTCTCAAAGGGTAAACGGTACATTCTAACTATCTTAGACAGCTTCAGCCGACATCTCATGGCCATACCATGTGCTAGAGACCGTGCAATCGACGCAGCCCGCGGGCTCTACCAGTTCTTTCTCCGTCATCGGAGATCCCCCGCATCGTGTCCTCCGACCGAGGAACCCACTTCACCGGCGAGGTCTACAAGGATTTCTGCGACCTAACATTGATCACTCGGGAACTTCACTGTCCAAGGCGACCACAAAGTTCGGGAAACATCGAACGGCAACACCGGACCCTCAAAAACGCCCTTTACATCATCTGCGAAGATAGAAACTGTGAATGGACGGACGTCCTTGAATCCGTAGTTTCCTCCATGAATGCCACGGCCAACACCGCCACCGGCGCATCTCCACATTACATAATCACTGGTCGTCAACCACATATCGGACTACCAAAGATACCACGTCAAGATATCATCAACAACAATCCTGGTGCTTACGGCATGCAGATAAATGCCCTTCTCCGACAGGTACACCAAAGAGTTGCTCTGGCAAACAACGAGGCTGACCACAGAATAGAAGCCAAACTGAACCATAAGATTTTCAAGGACCCGATACAGGTCGGCGACAAGGTGCTACTCTACCGACCTCAGTCCACAATAGCCCACTCATCACATCTGCCTTGGATAGGCGACTTCGAAGTCACCAGAACTAACGATATGGTGCTCCAAGTCAAAAACAAAAACGGCGAAACCGATTGGGTCCACCGGGGACATATTCGTCGGCTCGTACCGCGACCAAATCACTTGCAATACATGAGCCGGTCACCTCCACCACCACCCCATCTCCGCTCCACCAAATCCCCATAACCCGTTGACACGGCCTCCTACACTTTCGTCAGGGGAGCATCATATCACAGATGACTGCAGTTCCGGCAATAATAGCCAAAACACAGCAAAACGGAAAACACGCGGGCAACTTCCAGCACGCTTCCAAGACTTCGTAATGGGCTTCCAAAAAAAAAAAAATGGGCTATAAAAAAACATTCACTCGCACACACCAACAACATTACTAACAAAACATTAAATCAGGGTAAGATCTGGGGGAGCTGTTACAAGATGAGATCTTGCCCTGCTTCGATAAACGGAAGTTACCATCACGAGTCCCCGACTCGAAATGAAAACTACACGTCTACGCATAGACTCGACGCAGATACTTCCGTTTGGGATAAACTCGAAAAAAAATGAAAAGAATTAAATCAACCAATCGGACCGTCTCCCGCGTATTCAAAAATTGCCTTTTGAGCCGATAGGCGTGTAAGAACACGGGAAAGTCAAAAGGAGTGCCACTCAACGGCGGAGGCAGAAGGGTCACGTCGCTCGCTCCTGACACACTGGCCCGGCGACGAAACGAAGCATGTGACTGCTGCTGCTATTGAACTCTCGTCCGACGCCTTGTCAAAGGGTACCTTTCCCTCAACTTCTTAAATACGAACCTTTTACTTGTTCTTATTTTCCTCACTAAAAGAGATTATAAAATATATCTACAGTCTTTCTTGTTCTTTCGATTCTGAATTCCATTGTTTGCAACCAAACGCAGTATTTCGCCCACATTGTTTTCACATCGCCCACGTAACTAAATACGGAATATAACAAAACCTACCAAAATAAAGTTTGTGAACGGGCGTGGTTTAAACAGATACATTTGTGATTTTCTTTATAACCAATGAGGAAAGTAAGATACGAACTCCGCAGTAGAAGGCTGGTTCTGGGAATTGGACAAAAGAAAAATTAAAAGTCGTTGCTAGTGACGCAGATGAAAAGTAACAGAAGAAAAAGAAAATAAAGCTGAAAGAAAAGCGAGTAGATAACAAATTTAGAGAAATATGTAATTATTTCTCTACAGTTGTTTGTGAAAGTTTGACAAAAATTAGAAGTATTAACCATACATTTGAACTTTTTATGAAAATATTTCTTTCATTTTTAGACCACAGTTTATAAAACTAAACTATTGTCTAAAACTAAAAGAAACCCAGCGATGTTTGTAAATCGTCAACCTTCTCGACTACTTTCGATAATCGAATGAATCGAAGTGAACATTTTTTTATAATAATTATAATTATCAAAACTGCAATTATATAAAAAAGAATTAATAAAAAGAAATGTAATATATAAAAATAAATAAAGGAAGAATATAAAAATAATAATAAAGGGTGAATATAACAAAATATGTAAATTACGAGCCCAAAATATCAAATTTCTATTTCAACTGTGAGCTGATTAATGACTATTTAACATGTCTGGCTTGCTGAACCAACTGAAGGGAATTTGCAATCCTTCTCAAAGACTTAGACTGTTGAATGTATGAAAGTAAGTGAATATTTAAAAAGAAAACTATAAATGTTTTTACCATTTATGAGCCTAACAGTAATTTAAAACTTGTTATCTTGTGAAAGGCACACAAAGGAAAATTTTGTGCAAATGTATATTGTAAATTTGTATTCTGTCTTATTGTTTTTTGTGCTATATCCTCCCAAAATCATTTTAATTAAACTTGTTATCTTGCCTAAGTGTTAGGTGAACAAAGGAAAATTTTGTGCAATCTCGTTTTGTAAATTTTGTATTCTGTGCTATTATTATTTTTTGTCATTTAATAAATGTAAATTTCTTTCAAATTTCACACCAGAATAAAATTCTTGTATTTTTTTGTATGTGCCTTTCATAATACTCGGGATAAAAGATTTAACATTCTCTCTTCTTCCCCCGCCCCCGCTATAAAGTTCTTTTATTTTGTATAAAATGTTTTATTCCTAAACGCAAAATAGTAAATTTGTGTTCGCTTAAACAAAATTACTTTGCGAAGTTTGGAAGGAAATATTTAAATAATAATGACTCCATCACCTCTAAGAGGAAGTGACTACTGAAATACATCCCTTAAAAAATATGGCGGGTCGAACTCTTTTATTCACCGTTATCGCCATAATTTCACCCTAACGACGACATAACTGTTTATGAATAGGTAATTGACCTGTCTTATCTGAGATCCATCGATGAGCTCTCCTCACACATAACAAAAATCATACAGGATGTCACTGTCCAAAAATCAGCGGTAAAGTCGCAATAGGTACACAACCACTACTCGAGACACGTCATCTTTCCCTCGTCAACGCGTCCGCATAATAAAACCCAGCTATGCCACAAACCGCATGCCTTATCACTGACTGCAACTACATCACACTAGACATAAGGGACGCCTCCGAAAGAATAACCCTTCTTATCCATGCTATCACACAACACAACCAGGGTGACCGGCACCAAACCGAAAAGGTCTTTCGCCGCACCATTTCACGTGGTAGCTCAAGCTAAGAGTGGCAATACTTCCTAATGAAATAAGAACAACAACAGGCATGCAACAAGATCCCCAGCATCTAATTAATGGAATGTTGTGAGGAATCCCACCGAAGAGACCTCTATCGCTGTAATAGTGAGATCGGCATAGAAAAGGAAGCGGTCACCTTAGCGGCAATACGGCGCCTTATAGTTAGGGAGGAAAATACCATGGTACCCAAGGCCATCCTGCAGAATATCTACCAAGACAGAGATGAGGGATGAGAAAATTCGCTGCCAGATTACACGGCCGAGCAGACACATGTAAGTTCACTAGCGCCTATCCTTACAGTCGCACCATAAATTCCACAGAACAGATGGTCAGAGATGCCCTCGTACATAGCCTAGTGGACCATGAAATACGACAGAACATTCTTAACCACGACAACCAAGATCCCACTATACAAGCCACCTCCAAGCTTGTGGGTCCGAGGTGTCCCTAAGTGGTATATACAGTATGACAAAATTAAAAATAAGTGTTAATTAACGAAGCGTAATGAGTTGATAGGAAGCGAGGATAAAAATAATAACAATTAAGAATGGTTCGAGTGGTAGTATTGAGGCTATGAGGAACTTGAAATTAACGGACTAACTGGAAATATAGATAAAGTAAGGGGTAACAATACGGGAGGCTTGACCAGCTTAAGGAAAAGGTAAAAATTCTTATTATTTCTTTTTTTGAAGAAGTCACCGAAAATTTTATCTCCCTTTTTTGTGGACGTAAACAATGAAGAGCCAGACATCCTGGTGACCACTAGTTCCGGGCGAGTTGGAGAAGTTAACGCGTCCTGGCGAATAGTCTACCCGGAAATATGTGTGCGGCCAGGTTGGAAGTGACCAGAGGAAAAGGGAGTCGAAGAGTGGCAGATAATGAAAATTCTTGGATGGCGATTGGCTGTCACGAGGCTACCTGGAACTATGTGGGCGTCAGGATACAGTTGGTCAGGGGTAAGGAGAATTGAGTGTGGCCGATAACGTCAATTATCGGATGGCGAGTGGCTGTCTCGTTCGGGACCGCCCGTGGGGGTGTAAGTGAGAGTGTCTACTGGGAGGAAGCGGGAAGGGAATTAGGATTAGTTGGAAGATACAAGTTACGGTGGTAGGAGGGCTGCCGGCGATTCACCGTAGCAATTGTGCATGGGGACTCACGAAATAACAACCCCACCCATCTTCGATATAAGCGGTTTAGGCCGCGAATAAGAGAGTGGTTAGAAGAGTTGCGCTTAGTAGCAGGGAGTGAAAAGAGAGTCGCGGAGAGTGGCGAACAGCAGAGGTGCAGGGAGTAACGAGCAGAGCCGCGAACAGCAGAATTGCAGAAAATAAAGTGAAGTCCCTGAAAGTTTCTGAGACGAGATCGTAATAGCGGTTGTTAGCAGAGTGCGGAGACCTTATATGAACCAATTGTATAAACGAGGGCGGACGCAATATTCCCGTAAGAAATTGAAACGACCGAGAGAGATAACCTGATACGTAGCCGTCTCTCTCTCTCTCCCCTCTCTCTCCCTCCCTCCACAGTCTCTCTCTATCCTTAAATTTAATTCTGCATGTATATAAAGATTTGAACTATATTGAAGCGAATCCGGTTTTTCTTCCACGACTATTTTATCGTAATTTTTTTTAACTAATATACCCCTGTCCCGCCTTCAGCACTCTCAACAGACCCTGTCGGTCCAGGATCGACAAAACCACTCTTGAGGTCAGAAAATTCGCAACGTGGATGGAGAGTAGATTGTTGTCACTTGGTCCCGATTGGGAATCTGCCGGGCCTAACGGCCGGACCCGCGAGAGTCAAGTGGGTGATGGGCGTAAGGGGTTATACCATGCTCATGCAGCGAGCGCATAAAAAAGAGGCAGGAGCACCAACAAGAGCCATAAACAGGTTGGTGGCTAGAGAAATGATGAGTCCGGCCCTAACTGTGGAAAACCAACATACACCAGCGGGAACATCGAGACAAGGTGGAGGGAATGTAAAGCATTCGGCAGAAAATGCGGCACTCTAAATCACTTCACCAAGGTCTGTCGAAGCCGCAAGCAGTCTCCAAGAAACCCACGCAACCAGACACAAAATCCCAAACAGGAGGTGGTGACGAGTCTACATGATCTGCGAGTCGACGATCAGCCTGACACCAAAAAGATGCGACCGCAGCGAGTCCGTCACCTTTGAACCTCATACATTCACCAGACATTCCAGATTGAAAAAAAGAAAATTCCTGACCTCATCGAGATAACCCAGATTTGCTGTCACAGCAGAGAGACAACCTTTACCTATCTAAGGATGCCTGCACTGACTTGGTTTTCATCTTCAAAGAGTTCCCACAAATTGGAGAAGCGGCCGTGTCCATCAACAAACCTCACCAGAACAGACCCACCACGGAATGCCGCTGCTTCAAACGGATGCTACCCCCTCCACTACCCATAAGATTACCGTTCCCAGCAAACGAGGAGTACTGTGACGACCTTTGGAAATGGCTCTATCACTACAACTCCAGTACATTTAACACCTGCGAGAACCAAACACCCTTGAAACTAAATATAAACCCTAACGCCACCCCGGTTGCCGTACACACTCCTGTTCCAGTAATCCTCCATTGGCAAGATGAAGTAAAATCCGATCTAGGCAGAGACGTCTGTCTAGGAGTCCTGGAACCGGTACCTGTTGGGGTACCTGTCATATGGTGCCACAGAATGATCATCTGTACAAAGAAGAATGATAGCCTACGTCGCACATTGGACTTACAGGCACTAAATGCGAGTGCAAGAGAGACGCGCCACAATCAGTTGCCATTTCACCAGGTCACCCTCATCCGCGCCTACAAAAAGTGACTGTATTCTATGCATGTCCGTGATCGCCATTACACCACCTTCATTACATACTGGACCTGCTATCGATACCGGACAAAACCAATGGGATACATAGCGTCACAGGACGGTTACCCCAGGCGATTCGACGAAATTGTCTCCGACTTCCACAACAAAACTAAATGCATCGACGACACATGGATGTAGGCAGACAGCCTAGAGGACAGTTTCTTCCAGGCCTGTAAATGGCTAGACCTCTGTGATCGCAATGGAATTATCCTCAACCCAGATAAATTTCAATT